CCTCCCCCTCCTCCTCCTCCTCCCCCTCCCCCTCCTCCTCGAGGCAGCGGGCGAGAGGCTCTCTTCCGGGGCACTCGGGCCTCGCTCCCAGCCCCTCCCCTCGAGCCATCACAAACATCGCGACGAGAGGCTTGTCGCTCTTCTTTCTCGGCCTCCGGGGGCCCTCGCCGGGCCTCGGGGCCGCGAAGAAAGAACGGCTCCGGCCGAAGGTTCCGGCCCTGGGGAGTGGGTCGAGACCTCTGGGGGGGGGGCGACGCCGTGGGAGAATCATGGCGTCGGGGGTCTGGGCCCGCTGTTCTGAGAGAGGCGGGTCGTAGCTCCGAGGGGCCAGTCTGGCCCGACCTCTGCCCCTTCTGGGGGTCGACGTCGTGGGCGAATCATGCCGTCGGGGGTCTGGGCTCCACGAGCGGCTCGTTCGCCAGCCCCCCACCGGTCCGGTCGATTTGGAGGGGGGGGGGGGGTCCGGGACGAGCGGGGGGGGTCCGGGACGAGCGGGGGGGGTCCGGGACGAGCGCAGCACGGCCGGGACGAGCGGTTCACGGGGCTTTTCCGGGCCCAAGAGGGCCTCAAGACGGGCCAAGAAGCCCCCAAGAGGCCTCCAAGACGGCCCACGAAGGCCCCGAGACGCCAAACGACCGCTCCAAGACGCCCAAGATGGCCCCAAGACGGGCCAAGAGGTCTCCAAGACGGCCCCCGAGGTCCCAAACAAGCCTCCCAAGAGGGCCCCAAGAGTCTAAAATTGTTGATTTTCCCTGATGTTTTTCTATGTTTGTTGCTTTTCCGCCTTTTCGGCTTCCCGACGCTCCAAGACGGCCAAAGAGGCCCCAAAGACAGCCCCAAGATGGCCCAAGAGGCCCCCAAGACGGCCTCCAGACGGCCCAAGACGGCCCCAACACGGCCCAAGAGGTCCCCAAGACGGCCCAAGAGGCTCCAAGACGGCACCAAGAGGGGCCCAAGAGGGCGACCAAACATGTTGAAACTCTAGCTTTCTGCCCCCAGGAGCCCCAGGGGGCCCCAAGAGTGCCCCAAGAGGCCCCCAGAGGCCCTCACGAGGCCGCCCAGACGCCCCAAGGAACCCCCAAGAAGCACCCCAGAGGCTCCGAAACGGCCCCCAAGTGGCTCCAAAACTCGCTTCCAGAGGCCCCCGAGAAGCGATCCGCGAGATCCCGATACACATACAAGAAGCCTCTCACCCATAACCCATAACCCAGAGCCGTTTCTCCGTGTCCCCCTTCTCCTCCTCCTCCTTTTCCTCCACCTGGGCCCCCAAGTGGTTCCAAACTGCCTGCCATAGGCCCCATGCCGGCACACCCTTTGCACGCGCCGTGGCCTCGCACATGGCCAAGTTGACCCATCATGACTCCTGGGCAGTCCCACAAAAAAACTCCCGACCGCTACCGAAACGGCTCGAAGACATTCCCGAGCCCAACCTGGCTCCATTATGCCTCTCAGATGGCCCCAGATGAGACCACGACCGCCCGCGGTGTCGCCGTCCGCTCGGACCCCCCCGCGGAACTGCCCGAGACCCTCTGGCGGTGGCGGCGAACAGACACCAAACAAATATCACTCGCCTTTTCACCCCTTCGCAGCTTCTACTACCCCCAGATTGGCATAAACAAGGGGTCGGCGGTGTGGCGTAAGCCTAAGAATCATGCCGTCGGGGGTCTGGGCTCCACGAGCGGCTCGTTCGCCAGCCCCCCATCGCCACTCGCGGGCCTCGGAGGCCCCGCTGCTGGGGCCCCGCGGGCCCCCCTCGCCGACCCGATCGGCGGCGGAGAGCCTCCACTGCTCCCCTCGGCGGCGGCGCTTCTCGGCGTCACCACCCTCGACGCACACGCACACGCACACGCACACGCACACGCACACGCACACGCACACGCTCACGCTCACGCACACGCTCACGCTCACGCACACGCTCAGGCACACGCACACGCACACGCGTCCGCGCACGCGCACCACCCTCTGCAGCCTCTGCAGCCTCTGCTGCCTCGGGGCCCTCGTGTCCCGCTGGTGGGGGCGACTGCCCTTCGCCCTGCCGCCGCTCCGACGCCCATTCCCCGTGCGTCTGTCGGTTTCGCGCGCGCCTCTGACTGCTCGATGGTCCAGGACGCTCTCGTATGTTCCTCGCCGAGAGGAGAAACACACACACAACACATCCGCACACACACACCACACACACACAGACACACAGAACACACACACCCACACACACCAACACCTCACACACACCACGCACCCGCACACAGCACTGACACTCCACACTCACACGCACAGCAGCACACGCCAAGCCACGCACGGCGCACAACCAGCACTACGCACAACACGCACAATCGCACGACGCCACGACGAAAGCACGCTCAATAACGCACACGCACAAAACGCACACTCACCGCGCACCAGCGCACAGCGCACGCGCACTGCGCACGCGCACAATAGCGCACGCGCACAACACTGCCCACAAACCCACATTCCCACACACACACACACATAACCCACACACTACTCAAACACATTACACACACATGCACACGCACACGCACTTACGCACACGCACACTGCACAACGCACAGCGCACAAAACTCACACGACAGAAACACCACGCACACACCACACACAACACACACACACTACGCCACGTACGCGCACACACACACACACACCCACACACACCGCACAACGCACACGCGCACACGCACACGCAACACGACACGCACCCGCCAAAGAACGCACACTCACTTAACGCACCAGCGCACCACGCACGCCGCACAGGGACGCACACGCACACGCGCATGCTGACGCTCACACACACGCACACGCGCACACGCTGACGCTCACACACGAGCACACGCGCACGCGCACGCGCACGCGCACGCGCCCACGCACGCGCGCGCACCCACGCACACAAACACACACCACACACATACACACCACACCACCACACCCACACACCACACACCACACACACACACACGCACACACACACACACACACACACCACACGCACACACAAACACACGCACACGCACACGCACACGCACACGCACACGCACGCGCACACGCACACGCACACGCACACGCACACGCACACGCGCACACCGCACACACCGCGCACGCGCACGCGCACGCGCACGCTCACGCGCACGCGCGCACACGCACACGCACACGCACACGCACACGCACACGCGCACGCGCACGCGCACGCGCACCTGCACGCGCACGCGCACGAGCACGCGTACGCACACAATCACACACGCACACAATCAGACTCCATACACAAACACACCACACACACACCACACACACACACACACACGCACACGCACACGCACACGCACACGCACACGCACACGCACACGCACACGCACACGCACACGCACACGCACACGCACACGCACACGCACACGCACGCGCACAAGCACATGCACACGCACACGCACACGCACACGCACACGCTCGCGGTCACGCTCACGCACACACGCACACACCTACACACACACACACACACGCACATGCACACGCGCGCGCACACGCACGCGCACGCGCACGCGCCCGCGCACGCGCACGCGCACACATGCACACAAACACACACACACACACACATCACGCCGCGCCCTCGCTGGGAAGATCTGGAAGATCAAGTTAAGATCTGGAGTATCAAGTTAACATGATCTCCCACAACTTCCCCGCAGCTGCCAGAACTACGTTTGAGCATCTCAGACGCGAGGTTTGTCGCTCTTCTCGGCCTCAGGGGGCCCTCGCCGGGCCTCGGGACCGCCAGGGAACGAATCGGGCCGAGAGACCGGCCCCGGGGGATGGGTCGAGACCTCCAGGTGACGTCGGGGGGGGGCTGGGTCCGCTGTCATGAGAGAGGCGGGTCGTGGCCCCGGAGGGGCCAGTCTGGCCCGACCTCTGCCCCCTCGAGGGGCGCCTGCGGCCACCGGGTGCGCCCGCTGGCGCCCGGACGGCGGCGAGGTAGAAGCTACGCCGCGATCCCCTTGGCCTCTCGGCCTGGAGGACAGGGCCCGCGCCCTCTTAGGAATAGGGGTGCTTCTCAGAAGCTTTCCACCCTCTGCGCGACCTCCTCCTGCGCCAACCTCCTCCTCTCCTGTTCCTCCTCCTCCTCCTCCTCCTTCTCCTTATTCTCCTCTCCCTTCCTCCTCCTCTTCCCCGTCCTCCTCCTCCTCCTCCTGCTTCTCCTCCCCCCCTCCTCCTCCTCCTCCTCCTCCTCTCGCTCCTCCCCCCCCCGCCTCCTCCTCCTGCTCCTCCTCCTCCTCCTCCTCCCTCCTCCTCCTCCTCCTGGTCGCTCCTTCCTCCTGCTCCTCCTCCTGCTCCTCCTCCTCCTCCTCCTCCTCCTGGTCCTCCTCCTCCTCCTGCTCCTCCTCCTCCTCCTCCTTCTCCTCCTCCTCCTCCTCGCTCTTTGTCCCTGCTCAACAAGTGCTCCCGATCGCGGTTCGTTTCTCCATATGCCTCTCCATCTCCGACAACTGGGCCACCGCTCGCCTTGCCCTTTTCCAGCATCCCCTCCAGCAGCTGGACCACCTTCTGCACTGGGGTGACCTCGGCAGGGGAAACGAGGAGGACGTGGAGGAGGAAGGAGAGGAGGAGCCTGCGTCGGGGATCGAGAAATCGAGGCTCCCATTGGCGTGGAGGGTCTGTGGGAATGGGGGAGTGGGAGGAGGGGGGGGGGGGGACGGCGGAAGGGGAGGGGGGGGAGGGACGAAGGGACAAGAGCAAGCCCAGCGTGCAGCAACGGCGCTGCAGTACGCCCTCCGTCCCCGAGCCCCCCCCCCCCGGCCCCCCCCACACACACCCTTCCTCGCTGCGCGCGAGACGCCCCCCGCGGAAAAGGCCGGCACGCCGCGCGGGCCCGCACTTCCGAGGAGACTCTTCGCCTGAAAGGAGCGCCTACCACCCTTCGTACTGCTATAGGAGAAGAAAATAAATTACCCCAGTGCGACCCTACCTAGGAGTTGGAGCCCCTAGGAAAGCAGCATTAGTAGTAACAGAAAAGCTAAGCTAAAGCTGAGATAAAGCTGAGCTAAAGCTAAGCTAAAGCTTAGCTAGAGCTAAGCGGACGCTAAGCTAAAGCTAGGTTAAAGCTAAGCTAAAGCTAAGCTAAAGCTAAGCTAAAGCTAAGATAAAGCTCAGCTAAAGCTGGACTAAAGCTTAGCTAAAACTAAGCTAGAGCTAAGCTAAAGCTAAGCTGAAGCTAAGCTGAAGCTAAGCTGAAGCTAAGCTGAAGCTAAGCTAAAGCTAAGCTGAAGCTAAGCTGAAGCTAAGCTGAGGCTATGCTAAAGCTAAGCTGAAGCTAAGCTAGAGCTAAGCTAAAGTTAAGCTGAAGCTAAGCTGACGCTAAGCTAGAGCTAAGCTAAAGATAAGCTGACGCTAAGCTGAAGCTAAGCTGACGCTAAGCTAGAGCTAAGCTAAAGCTAAGCTAAAGCTAAGTTAAAGCTAAGCTAAAGCTAAGCTAAATCTAAGCTGAAGCTAAGCTGAAGCTAAGCTAGAGCTAAGATAAAGCTAAGCTAGAGCTAAGCTGAAGCTAAGCTAACGCTAAGCTAGAGCTAAGCTAAAGCTAAGTAAAGCTAAGCTGAAGCTAAGCTAGAGCTAAGCTAAAGCTAAGCTAGAGCCAAGCTGAAGCTAAGCTGAAGCTAAGCTGAAGCTAAGCTAGAGCTAAGCTAGAGCTAAGCTGAAGCTAAGCTGAAGCTAAAGCTAAGTTAAAGCTAAGCTGAAGCTAAGCTAAAGTTAAGCTAAAGCTAAGCTAACGCTAAGCTAAAGCTAAGCTAAAGCTAAGCTAAAGCTAAGCTAAAGCTAAGCTAAAGCTAAGCTAAAGCTAAGCTGAAGCTAAGCTAAGCTGGGTGAACCCAGGGGGCGCGACTGGGGGAACCGCGGGGCGGGGACTGGGGGAACCGCCCGGGGCGATTTACACTGCCCGGCCCCTTTCAGCTAAGAGAGTAAGAACCCTTCTAGGCAGAGCCTAGGTAGGGAATGATAATAAGAAGAAGCATTCACATGATACCCATACTAAAACTCATAACACATAGAAGATGAAGAGGAGGAGGAGGCTTCGTTCTAAGAGAAAAGCATTCCATCCGTCGCACTGCTTTGGAAGAAAGGCAATCCGGGCGGAGCGCCGCAAGTGTATGTTTGTGTCGTTATTTCTTCTGCGCTGTGGGGAGTGCGACAGGGTCGAGCTTCAACTACCAAAGAAGTGCTGTGAGGAGTGCGGCAAGATCGGGCGTCAACTATCAAACAAGTGCCCCAACAGCAGCCCTGCATTTCAGAGGAGCCGCGCCCTCCCCCCATCCGTGCCGCCGTTGTACAAATGAGGGGCTCTGGAAACCCCGGACAACAAAAATGCCGTCATCTCTTGGAGGACAACTTTTCCCTTCCGCCGACCTTCCGCCGGCGGAGGCGCCCTCGTTTTACCGCCGCCGACCTTCCGCCGAGGAGTCAGAGATGACAGCTCCTCCTATCCTCGAAGACGAGGCCCTTTTTGGAACGCCTCATATAACACCCAGCCATCGGCCACCGTGCCTGCACGATAGGGGCGCGTGGGAATACCCGGTGCTGTGCTACATGGCTTCTGTATTCTAATACGCACCCCCCCTCCTCCTCGCCCTCCTCCTCCTCCTCCTCCTCCTCCTCCTCCTCCTCCACCTGTTTCCTCCGTCTCTGCATCCTCCTCCTCCTCCTCCTCCTCCTCCTCCTCCTCCTCCTCCACAGGAGCGTGCACCCCCCCCTGCTCCCGAGGCCACGGCCTCTCGCAACAAACACGGCCACGCGCTGCCGAGGCCCCGACCCCTCGCACAAAGACTATGGGTGTGTCCTCGCCCCGAGCTTCCGAGACGGCCCAGGCAAGCAACCAGGACAGCCAAGACGCATCGGAGATGGGCCAAGGTGGCCCCACGGCGGCCGAATGTCTCCGCAGGACGGCCCAAGACGGCTCCAATAGGGCCCGAACAAACCGAAAGCATTGATGCCCCCTTGATGTTTCAATGACTTCCGCATTCTCGCCTGTGTTCGGGCGTCTGTGAGCTCAAGACGGCACAGGAATCCC